ACCAACAAAGACCAACACACAGACCTGCAAGCCCCAGGAGCTCCCACCTCCTCTACAGCAGCACACCTGGCCCTCAAATTCAGACTCCACTGTAGTAAATACTAACTTGAAAGACAGCAAACTTCCAGGTGTAGGGGTGTTCTAGGCATATGCTTTCCTCTTACCAGAGTCTGAGATCCCACAAGCTACACCAAACTGTTAGCACAGAAGTGCCTTCATAAACATGGCAATTTTATGTACAGCCTGATGGACACAGGCACTGAAACAACACTGAGGTACCTGAAACAATCAGGACTGCATGAATGTGCACTGACAGATGTCCATCTCTGTCTTGGTTCTGAAAAGCATTTAAAAGCAGGATTCTATCCTCCACCTGCAAAAGGTATGTGGGCACCCCAGCCAAGAGCCAAACCAAGTTTGTCTTCTGAAGTTCTCCCCACTCCCATCCCTTTCTTTCACTGAAGATACAGCACATGAAGTCAGGGAGACTTCATTTCAGCTGAATGCTCTCACTACATAGTGTGCTCCATCCTTACATGAATAAACCCTTGAATTTCAAAATGAGACAGGGGCATGGCTTACCATCTAGTAGTTCTAGAGTAACTGAGGGATCTACATATTCCCACCAGTGTTTTCCATCAGTTGATACTGGAATCTCCCAGTTGGACCACTTGCAGGCCAAGTGAATGCACACACATGCTATCACTGTGGGCTTGTACTGAAGACAGAATGTGGTAAGGTGAAGGCTGTTGCACACATTTCGTAATGAGGAGCCAAAGGAAATCAAACATGTAAAACAGAAAACCCAAACAAACCAACCATTAACATACAGAATGAGATAGCTTGTCAATCAACAGCAGTTAAACATTTTGTTGAATAAGTTCATAAGATACTGCCCTAAGAAAACAGAGGGCAGGGCATTTATCCAGTAGAAAAGTTTAATTTGATTTTGCTATCAAAAGCCTGATGAACAGTAAATAAATTTACCAATTATTCTACTGTACTTAAGTACTAGAAAGGGCAGTATAATATGGTGAATTAAATTCTGCAGTATAATGCATAGAGCTAATTGGGCAGTCTCTGAATGAGACAACCAGAAGGTCCCCAGCAGTTCCACAGCAGTCAGGTGAGTTATTTGTGGGCTTTGCTTTCACCAGGCCTGGATTTGTGACATTTGTGATGTTGTCCTCAGCTTCCAGCACCACAGACCCATTGGTTCACTTTCACTGCTTTAGCATAACTTCTCTTAACAGCTGCTTAAGTAGAGAATCTTGCCCATCAAGGAACCACCAGGATTTATTTATTTTAACAGTTCTAATAACCAGCAGATACTGTTTAAAAACTGTATCTACACATAATTTAATTCTCTTAAATAAAGGTTAAAGTAGTTTTGCAAGAGGCAAATTGAAGTAATCAAGACTAAAGTCTGCTCTCTAATTCTTTCTATGACAGGCTATGTCTACAAAACAACCACTTGGAATCCTAGGACTATAAATTTATCTAAGTACTTAAGTTTTAAAGCTATATATTAAGATTAAAGAGCTGTTTCTAAAAGAAATAACATTGGGCTAGTACTAGTCTATCTAAAAATAAAAATCAGCTAGTTGAAAATATCTTAGGCCCACTAGAATTTTATAAGTTAAGATTGAATCAATATACTTAAAGTTAAGAGAAAACTGCCATTAACTACAAGTGTAAACTAAAAATAGTTTTGTACTTACCAAGATGCTCGGATTTCTAGGTTAAGTTTATCTCTGTAATCTTTAGCTGCTATTCAGGCTACCAATTTTAGACTTATGCACTCACAATCGAGAAAAAGTCATCAGAAAGCACCACTACACTTCTCATTGTGCATTTCAGCCCTTTGTGCCGTCAGGCCCTTGTCCAATACACCGCACTGCAGGCGGGGAGGTACCACCACGGGAGGTGGCCCAGTCCCCCACTGCAACAAGGGTAAGACACATCAGGGGGCCCTGCAGTAAAGGAAGCTATAGTGTGCTACAACAGTGCAACAAAGAGGTTCAGGATAACAACCTGTTGGTAGCCATGAAATAGGATGTCTGTGCCAAATCCTTGCTTGCTGTAAGAAAAGAAAAACAAGAGAGATTAAAGATCCGCACTGATTTGTCAGGTTCGTTCCAAAATTCAAGCAGTTTTACCTACCAAAAATCACTGCTGGGTATTTCTAAAGTGCTGATCTGGCTTTAGCTAACTAGCCTTTAGAATGATCTTTTCTGAGATGGAGAAGACTCAGACACACTCAGTACTGGAGCTGAACCTGTCATTCCCTCAGTGCCCCTCCTCCCCTGCACAGCCCACAGCACAGCTCCCCTCCAACAGCTGCCAGGTGAGCACTCTCCTCTGGGAAGCGCTGCTTCCCCACCCTCACCTGCAGGGATCCCTGCTTGGAGCTGGGAGTGCAGCAGGCAGTCAGTCCCAGCCAGTTCACAGTGCTCCATCTGCTCTTGGAGTGGGCCATGGCACCCTCCCACCTCCCCAGAAACAGCCACAGCTCTCTCCCAAAGCCCTGGAACACAGCCAGCCCCCAAGCTACGTGGGGAAAAAATATCAGTTTTCTGCTCTTTCTAACTGAGAGCACTGTAGTCATAACATTTTGCTCCATATTTGTTAAGTCTATGGCAAGGCTTCGATAGGAAACAGACAAATTCATCTGAGTTAGTCAGAAAAAAATACTGAAACAAACCACAGGACTGCAACATGCCAGGAATGAAAATCTGACTTGGGCTGTTACAGCCACAGAGTGCTGACCCCTGCAGTGACTCCCCAATGCTCCTCACTCAGGTAAGAGAACTTACTGTAACATGCATTTAATGGAATAGCTGGGCACAAGGGGTTTAACCGCAGATTGAATGCAGCCTTCATTGAATTCTTACTTTGACACTATCACTTGAAATCAGTGCTACCTGCAGAGAGCGTAGTGTTGGATTTTATGTCAAAGGGAATACTGGTAAACTTTTAATAATATTTCTAGAAAGTCTGAGAAATACTACAGTGGCTTTTAAATTTAGTTTTTTGAAAAGCATATTAAAATGTGATTTAACTCAACTTCTAATAATTGCCAAAGAATAAAATTCAGATTTGTTTTTATGCTACACAGCCAGGAAGTGCCATAATCGAGGAAGAATGTGGAAGTTGCAAGGTAACAAGATCTGTTCCTACACCCAAATTCTACTAATCCATAATAATCAGAAGATGAACTGATAATGTATTATGCCATAATAATTAGTTTGCACGCTGTAATGGTAATTGCATGCCAAAAAACCAAGGAGTTCAAACTCTTCCTCCCATCTAAAAAGAAGGTGGAATCACAAAAAAAAAAAAAAAAGAAAAAGTAAAATGAGATTGTCATAACAAATAAAAATACACAGTGATTGAGTAAGACTCAAGAAATTGATGTCTTGTCCTTCATTTTTCATCAAAGCAATGCCTAAAGGATCTTCAATGATTTATATATTCTGTAAAGTTACATGTTTGAATTAAGGGAGCAAGACCAAGAAGCATTTCTACTCTCACTGAAGTGCCCCTTCTGGACAAGGAAGAAAAGCAGATGCCAGAAAACTTCTATTTAACATCAGCTTGAAAGATGAGTAAATCATAACACATACCTGGAAGAAAAGAATCACATCTTGAAACACACACTTTAGCCTCAATCAAAAATTACTGTGCTAAATACCTTACCTATACTAAAAGCAGTATGATTCTGTTTCAATTTACTTACAGCTAAATAATAATCATTGCCAAAACCAGCAAGAAACTTCAGCTCACAACTAAAGCCTTTGATAACACAAGGCACAACTGAAAATATCCATCCCAAACTCTTCTATGTAGGGCAGCTTTGGTTTAGCAGAATCCATTAATGAAATTAAATCTAATGAATTTTGGTTCCTATATTTTGGTGGCTTATTTCCATTATAGTAGTGGAAAGTGCATCTCCAAAATTTAAATCACCTTGAAGCAGGGGCTAAAACAAGCCAGCAGAGTTGCTCTTATAACTCACAAGCTGCAGGACCGATGGCTACGACACCAGCCATGAATGACCAGTTTTAGATTTCAGCATTCAGGAGTGATTTCAAACATCCATCCTGTCTCACTGCTGCAGAAGCAGCCATAAAACAGGGATCAGTGAAATAGTCATCAATTTTTGAAACAGGACTTGCTGTCTGACACACGTTCTGAGAGGCTGTCTCCAAGGAACTGCCAACTGGAAACCAAAATGCTTTTTACTGGGCACAGCCACTCAATTCACTGCTTGCAGTTCCAAGACACCTGAGTCTTTTCTTCAGCACAGCTTATCTTGGATCTTGGGATGCTCATGAAAACGTGACTGCCAAGTCCCCATTAGGAGCTGGTAACTGGCTATGCCTGGCCCCTGACAATGTGTGAGCACTCCCCAGAAAGAGGAGATTGCAGATAAGCCAGTCAGCATCAGAGGAGAGAAGCTTGCTGAAGTCCTTCTGGCAAAAGCAAAAAGCCCCAGGCTCTGAACACAGGGATGCTGGAGGGTGCTTGTTGTATCTGGAAAGGGCTGGAGGAGGCCATGGTGTAGGCATTCAGGTCTGAGTAGTCCTGGTGGCTTTAATTCTTGAAAGTACTTAAAGCTTGGAAACAGGCCCACAAAAACCTGAGGTCAAAGTTCAGAGTGGGATGGCCGCCTGTAGCAAGTGCTGGAGTGCAGCTGGTGTTTCACATCTTTCCACACCACTAAGATTCAAATTTTCCTCATGGGAATACCCTCTGGAAAAGCTGAGGCATTTTCACCTTGTCTTCTGCTGATTTTGTCCTCAGCCTGATTTAAGCAATGGCATCCCCACACAGATACTATGGGATATTTGAAGGATTTGACAGTGCAATTTTCACTAAAGATTAGTAAGGATCATGGGTGTTTGAGATACCTGATAACCTGCAGAGCAGTGAGAACAATCCTAGAAATCCTTGAGATCTCATCTTCAGTTCCAAAAGGTTGTGTTCCAGCACAGAGAAAGGAGTGACTGAAGACTTCCCAGGATACAGATTCCAGGTTTCACCAGAAGCAGGCTGAGAACAGACTGATTTTGCACCAGACTGTAAGAGGACCATGCCACACTCTTGGCACCAGGGCAGTTCCACTGCTGATCCCTCAGCTGGTGTTGAGGGCAGCAAGGGCAAAAACCAGAACAGTTTTTGGTGTTTTGGTGGGGTTGTTTTTCCCCTTTCCTGTTTTCCTTTCTTCTCTTCACTACTGGAGCATTCTTGGAATGGACACTGAAGCTTGCTGACAGGCCCTCCCACATCCACTGCCTCCAGATTCCTTGGACCTGTGGGATCCTAAGGAATGATGGTCCTGTCTCCTCTTCTCAGTCTCTTGACACTGAGGAAGAATGGTGCAGAAAAAATACTAAGCCCACACCATTTTCCTTGTCTGCTATACTGACCAAACTGCAAAGATGGAACAATTTCATTAACCCACGAGTCTCTGAACACCAAAAGGAGTAACTGGATATTGTATGCCTGAACATCATGAATCACTATCTATCCATCCAGTCACCCCTTCTCTGCAATGATCTGTGTTGTCTAGTAACACCTTCAAAAGGCTTTCAATTTTAGAGAAGAAATTCATTTTTTCTTTAGTTGTATGTTGAAGCAATTATATTTATTACCTACTACTTCATCTTCAGCTTCCAGCAATTGATTCTGGTGTGCCACTGCCAGACTAGACAGTCTTCTGACAAAGCACTTGGTTGAGTTTTTTGAGCATCATCAGCACAACCTGGATTTTTATTCTTTCATTTTGTTTTTAAAAGGGATATAGCTTAAATCTTAGTAACAGGTTAACAGTGACTGCATAAAATGAATTACCCTGGATGCAAGACAGCAAAAAGTGATGGAGAGAATCAGCCATCCTCTGAGGCACTGCAGTTTAGTCAGCCAAAGACCCTTTCCCACCACCTGACAATGCAGGGCACAAACCCTAAGCCAGATCCTGAGGCACATTTGCAGACCTCAGCTAACTTTGCTGCTTCTTTTCTGATACTCAGTCAGACATGACATTCCTCCCTTCCTCCTCTCTCTCAGCATGCAGTTAGAAGTTTTAATCATAACAGGCTTGGGTAAGTTAATCATCTTTATTCCAAAAAGGTATCTCTGCCTTCTGAAATTGTGTTTTTTTTTGTCCAAGATGATGTTCCAGAACTGGATGAAGTAACCTTAGATTTCTTTAACTTCTCAGTCAATCCCTTTAGCACTAAAGGTTTAACACTAAAAAAAATCTCAGGTATATTTTAAAAGCTTTAGTACTCAGATATCTGAGTGTTGCATCTACTGACCTTGAAAACCCACACTGTCCAATAAATAAATGTTCAGGAACAGAAAACTAAACTCCTACCACTGTGTCTGTGCAGATAATCACAGTGCCCATGGCTCCATCTCCCTGTCCTCTCAACACACCAAACCAATGTTCCATGGCTGCTATTCTGTCCTTGCCTGACTTGCATGCATGACTTCCAAACTCATGCCTGATGTTTTAAATGAATTAATTAGTTTCCTTTTTCTTATTTTACTATGAGGTACTCACATCTTGTGTTCACAGTCTACACCACTCCTAGGGACATGCTGCCAAGGATTGCATCCCCACACACACTAAGGAGCACACCTCCTCCAGTGAGCAGGGTTTTAAACATCAGAGACATTACATTCACCAGTCCTTGAGCTACATGGACTTTCAGCCCTCACTGAAGTCTTCAAATTTCAAGACTTGATATCACTTTAGACTTCTAAGTATTTTTTCAAGTCTTCTGACATTAAATACTAGTTTAAAGATGTCAAATTAAAAAAATCGCAGTATCTTCAAAGTATGAATTTTGTCAGTACAAAAAATTAGCTTACAAAACACAAAGGGAAAGGCTGAACTGCCTTAGAGTGGAATCTACCCTTGAAGAAAGGAAATCCAGTTTGTGTAGCAGTGTGCCTGTAGGCTTGAGTGACACACACTGATGTGGAAATCCTGAGGCAATACAACATTCCCCCACTCCTCCCCACAGCCCCAGACACCAAACAGAAGCACAGGGGCTCCCCAAGAGAGTAAAACGTGCTCACATTTACAGTGACCAACAGCCAAGAAAAGCCAAAGCAAAACCCTACAGAGCAGCTGGTGCTTCAGCTGAGACTTCAGGTGCAACTGGACTCATGCACCAAGTCACAACCAGATCTGGGCAGAAAGCAGAGAATCCTCATCTTACAGCAAAGAGAGCAATGAAACTACTTTAAATGCAAGTAAGTTACAGCACCAGCCCTACTCAGTGTCCAAAGACACTCACCAGGAAGCTACAGCAAATAAGAGACACCTTCCTTAAAGGAACACCATTAATTCCAGAGTTACTACAAACCAAATCTAGTTAACAGGGCCAGGCTGTACCTAAATTTTATATATTTAATAGAGGGAGAAGAAAAAACACCAAAAACTTAGAAGCACTTATGCATTTCTTACTGCAAAACCAGCTAATAACAACCATGGTCTAAAAATTTCAAAACGCTTTTTAACTTAATAAACATAATTAAAGTGAAAAGATTATTTTAGATGCTTTTACAACTGATCCCTAATTTTTTTCATCCTACATCTTATAAGAGGGTGTTTTAATCTTTTTTTAAAGCTCCAAAAGAAACCAATTCAAGAATTAAAGAAGATGTGCCAAAATGCCACAAAAATATAGAGAAGAAAATAGGTTTCTAGCCAGTCACATGAATGAGCTGCAGACAAGTTACAGGATATGTGTAACTAAAGGTTTGGGGTTTTGTGCTCCCATCCAGAGCAAGTAAGGACACACTGCTACAGAAAACAATTAGTCACCCCTATTTGCATGTGACAGCAGACTTGCTATGCACTCTCCATCCCTCAGTGCATTACCTGAAAAGATTTGCTAAGACAAAAAGCTGGCATTAGCCATCAATGGGCAAAACTACTTCAGAGTGAAAACCATCAGCTCAGCACCAAACTATGGATCTGGCCAATGAGTCTGCAACTGCTGACTGCTTCTGGCACTCCAGAACACATGCAACAGGTACTATTAAAAACAAAGCTAATAAGAAAACAAAAAAAAAAAAAAAAGAAGGACAAAAGACTGGACTCTGTGACTCTCTAAGGTAAATATCAAACTTTTAATAATTAATTTTAAATGTACTCTTCGGATAACATAGTTGGTGAAAAATCATGTTAGACAAATAACATTACTTTCAGATTTTACAAGAAAGGTAAAAAAGGACTTACAGAAGTGGTTAAAAGTCACTGACCTCTCACTAACTGTGTACATTTCACAACATCTGTGTGTGGATGTTCAATGGTAATCTCAAAACCTGAGGAGTTACAAATACATTTTAGAATTATGCATTGCATCTGTAAAATAAAAAGCAAACCCCTTATGTTTTCCCCCAGATCTAAAATACTTGTAAACCTTTGCACTGTAGAATAATTAACACTATTTAAGTGCCTTTTATTCTTTACCTTTTCATACTTTTCAATGGCAGATGGTAAAGCCGCTTTGTAATCCATTACTAAAATATTCCTCCAGTAATCTCAAATCCTGTACACACATAACCTGGGAAATGACTGTATTTTTAAAGCTGAATATATCTGAACAATTTCTAGCAAGTCAGTAAAAACTGTACTGCAAACACAATGGTGTGCATGTATACTTTTATTAATTGATTTCTAGCACTTAAACATGTTGCAGGTATGAAATTTGAAATTAAATAAATTTGTGTCAGTGACTTAAGAAACCCTTCTTGGTTTATGACACTGTTTTAAGAACTAGGTCACTACTGTGAGCTATTTTTTTTAACAATACCCCAAGTGGTATTTAAGAATATCTGAGCAAGTCAGTGTTCTCAAGCCTCTGGCTGTAATTGTCTCTGTGGTATTTTAGTCAGAAGAGTGTCTTGACAGAACATTCCACTTCAAATTTTGGAATCATCTGAATCCATTAAATGGCTACACTCCAACTTGTTTTCTTCAGAGTCAGCACCTGCTGAATTACATAATGTTCTGCTATGGAAAGGCAGAATGGGGAAGAGCACTGGGTACAAAGCTCTTCCCAACTGCTCCAGGACATGCACAGCCAGCCTACTACACCATGCTAACTTATGGGAAGAAATGTCAATGTAATTACTACTTGGAGTAAAATCTGTTTGGGAACCTACACATTTCTACCTCAAACTGTCAGAAACATCTCTTTCACAAGTACAGACACACCTTTCTTCTCCACAGTGAACACAGAACTGCTAACACAAAACTAAATTCACAAGTTGTGCAGGAAAACAGTTAAATTCTAGTGTACCAACAGCACATCAAAAATCCAGTTATTTGGGTCCCACTAGCTCTTCATGGCAAGCTGGCTGCACAGGAGGTATTTAGAAAGACATACCTAAAGTTTGAAGCATTATTGTTTCAAGTATAACCAGCTCTTGGGCTTGTTGAAGGTATGCCTGAAACAAACAAGCAGAGAGGTGAAGACACAAAATCAGAACTTCATTCCCACACTGCCTCTGTGGCACAGCACTGGCAACACAGGACACAGCAGCAGTACCCAGGGCACTGAGCACTGACAGCTCACAGCACCTCACACTGGGGTTACTTTCCTCCACCAGTACACACACTGCTACACTCAGCTCCACCTGCCTGCCTTTCACAAGATTAACTTGGTCTGGGTCTCACACAATCTATTCCAGCAAAGCATCTTTGGGAGGTCAGGTGGGGGCTGTAAGAATTTCAAGATGGAGCAATCTCTTCAAGTTTCATAACAAATAAGTGAGTCTTTAAGAAACTGGATTAAGTAATAGAAATACTTAAATGGTATAAAAAACAAAGGCTTTTCTTCCTAGGCTGCAGATTCCAGTAAGAAAATGTAACAAATCATTAGGTGAAATGACATCTTTCAAACCATGCATCTTTGAAACCATAACTTCCACCTACATCACTCTTTGTATCCAGCTGTGGCTCTTGAGGATGAAG